TTATATTTACAAGCAAACAAATTTTTGTCAAAAGTTCTGACCAGACTGTATTTTTATAATACAAATATACAGATGCTCCCATATTTAATTTGAAATCTAATTAAATTCCAATCTCCACTGGCTTATGTGAATATCTGACAGTGATTACTTATGGGTCATGTTATGGTGACCATTGAATGAGCTTTCTGAAAGTGAAATCAAATTGTGTGGCACACATCAATGCTCTTTAGCCATACAGCAATCTCCCAAACATGACAATATCAGACTTCATCTAACTGGTTTATAAAATTGGTGATTATGGTAATTACAAAGGTCCTCAGAACAGACTTCTAGCAGTCACTGTCAGATCTTCACATAGGATAATGAAGATATGATTTTAATCAGATTGATATAATGTTTGACTTCAGTTCATGCATTATTTTGTAGAAAGTTAAAATGCCTTATATGCTTGCCTAAACAATGAATCCACTACAAACTGCACAGACCCAGATCTGCTATTGCATAAAATGATAACAGGGATGGGTCTATGCAGTTTATTAAGAGAAATCAAACAATAAAACAAACAGCATAGACCTTGATCTGAAGGTGCATTATGCTATGGCAGGTCAGTTTGACTTGACTTAAAAGTGACCATACATGGATTGTAACAGTAACTGCAGCCTACTTTTTGAAGGACACTGTATACAATCTGAAATCATGCATCTTCTACACATGATCACCAAAGTTACATCTGAATATTATGCAGCAAGGTAAAATTGTGACTAGGTTATTTTTAGCAGAATTTATTGTGTATGGCAATGATTCATAAACACATGTTTCAAAAATAGAAAGCAAGAAACTGTGGTTTACGGTTCTTATGGCACAATATGCAGTTTGTAGAAAGTATTGCTGGTCCATATTTTAATAAATTCATGCATGACCACTAAGGCTTCTTAGTACATATATGATGGGCTGAATATATAATTGCACCTGAAACAGCATATCAAAGATTTCCTAAGGTGTTCATTTTATTTTGCTGTCTTCTAAACATATATGTAATATTGTTGGCAGACCATTTTACTCCAGTTTCACTTGTGGAAAACATTATTTGCAAAGTCAATACCATAAATACTTGCTTATAAGTTTAATCCTACTGCAAGCAACACAGACCCTGATGTGCATCATGTAGATCAGGGTCTATATTGTTTGTTCTACTGATTGCTAACAATAAACTGCATAGACCCATAACTGCTAGTGCATGATGTAATGCCAGATCTGGTTCTATGTAGTTTGCAGCCTGACTTGACTTATAAGTGAGAATGTACCACATTATTTTGAGATTAGGCTTTAAAACTGAGTGACCATTTTTGAAAATACTTTTACCCAGACAAAAATAATAAGTTATCTGTATGTATGTTTTGGTAACATTTTACCTGGCCTTACTGACACACAAGGCTTGATAAATGAGTTCATTCCAAGCCAAATTATGCAGACATTACTATTTGAACAATACAAAGGGAACATCAGACAAGTAAATTTTCATTACTAACATCACCAATAAGATGTCTTACTCTTAAAGAAAAAGAATTTTGCAAAGACAAAGTTTGGAGATGAGTGTATATTAAACCTAAACATTTTATAATAACCTGACTTTGCATTGGTACATACATACATACATACATACATACATACATACATACATACATACATACATACATACATACATACATACATACATACATACATACATACATACATACATACATACATACATACATACATACATACATACATACATACATACATGCATACATACATACATGCATACATACATGCATATTATTATTATTATTATTATTATTATTATTATTATTATTATTATTATTATTATTATTATTATTATTATTATTATTTGTTGTTGTTGTTGTTCCTCTCTTTTTTTTTACTGTGACTGTGGTTGTTTTCATCCGCAACTTGTACATAATGGTAAGGAAACTCTAAACCATCCAAGATTGACTGGTTTTATACAAAGAATACACTCTACTTGGAACGATGTAATTATTTTAAAACCAAACTACCTTCTTAACGCATTATCTCGCGCGATAACACGTAATTTGGCAGGGTATTTTCCCCAGTTTACAACAAAAATAATACAACACAACAAAATCTGTTATTTTACGAAACGTTTCCCAATTTCTGCCAGTCTCAACGATCATAGCAAATATGGCAACGGCATCATTGTCTCCAGGACCTTCTGGGTCAGGTAAAATGGCTGTTTAAGGTTCATTAATGTAGTCTTCTATAGACCAAGTGTTGAGAATAAACAACGTCTGGTGGTGCAAAGTAATTAATACAAATGAAATACTTGCAGAATATTGTTCTTAAAGTAATAGTAACTTGAGTAATATATTGCATTTATATATTTTTTGACCTTGAATCGCGTCCATTTCATCTTTTATGGGCTGAAACCCTACATCATTCAGATGCCGTCCAATTGAGCTTTCAGTCTGGAAAACCAGATAGTGACGGTATAAACTAGTCCTACAATGTAAGACATAGCACATGTCGTTTGTGTTTAAGTGCTGTGTCTTTCTACCCAATTAAGGGTCTTTCATAGCCTGTTCTGATGTCGGTTGACATCGGACCGAGTTGTCAGTTTCAAGAATATCTCACACACTTGGCAACCTATACAGATAACTCTTCCACTAAGTTTTGTCATTAATATGTTCACTGTGCAGTCTTTATCCTGGTGGAATCAAAATATGACACTAGCAAATGGATTCGTTTTCATGTTCCATTGACATACATTTGAATTTGTTGCAATGTGATGACAGTCAATGTAGGCCGAAGTAGGTTTATGTGGGAGATATGTTTCTTGAATGAAATGAAACGTTGTTTATAGTTCCAACAGGCATAATATATTTTTTTTTATGTTAAAGAATGATATTTCAAACCTGATTTTCGGCATTTCCAGCTTTCATCACTTTCAAGCTAACTGAAATGTAGGCCAATGAAACTTTGAAAACGGGTCAATTCATTTTGCAAGAATTTTAATTTATTAGAGAAAAGTCATCAGAGTACTGACAAAAACAGTACTTTACTTTGTAGAAAAGTGTTATTTGTTGCCAATTGTGTGTGATATTCCTGAAAGTTTGACTTTCGATATATTGTTAGTCAACATCAAAACAGCTACACAGTGCTGTTAGTTAGGCAGTAAGACCCATCACTTCCTGATGGGTCTTACGTGGTAGGACTAGGTAGAAATGTGCAAGGCCATGGGATGATTTATTTCAGTTAAATACAGTCTGATATACACAAGCAATACATGGACTTAAATGCTCAAAGGTAACAGTGCAAGTGTTGTTTTGTTTTTTAAATTGCCTCAACTAAAATTACACTTGCACAAAATGACATATTTTGACAATTAGGTAAACATGGGTATTATTGGTAAGTGGGTCAAGTTAATCAGCCTCTTTAAATTTAATTTCCAATTATTAGAATGTCACACTAGAAGAAAACTTTTTGGATATAACTTGCAGGGTTCCTGCAGGTCATGGAATCCTGGAAATGTTTTGGAATTTAAAGTTTGGAATTTGTCAAAACCTTGCAAAGTTTTGGAAAAGTCATGGAATTTGTTACAATGGAGCTAAAGAAATTGATTACTTCAAATTTCTTAGAGCACTGATTACCAATTAAATAAGATGATAAAATTACTATCGATAAATGGTTTCAATTCATATAACAAGAGTGAGTTCCCCTAATGGAAGTATCACATGTTTTCCAGTGTAGTTCACTAAATAAAAGAAAGCATCTGGAAAGTAATGTGTTTTGTTAATATTGTAAATAGGAACACATACAAAGACTACATAGGATTGTTTTCTTTTTTCTTTTGAATACAAATTACATTGAACATTGGATTATGACATGAATTGCTACATAAAGTAAAGTGTGCTAGCCCAAGTAATTTAAAATGAACATATTAAAAATATTTGTTGTTAACTTTGTTATTTTAGATTGAAAGATGTCATTTAATATGTTCATTTACTTGACAATGCAAGATAGAACGGTCCTTGAGTTTTATGAAATGTCCCTGGAAAAGTTTTGGAAAAGTCATGGAATTTGTTTTTGTTAAGTTTACAGGAACCCTGTATAAATTTACAATAAACCATTTTTGTGTAAATCTATTTAAATGGGCAACTTTCAAGGTGAAACTATAATTCGGATGCATTTTGTTGGTGGGTTGTTAGTTATGGCTACAAGGCAGTTGTATGTAGGTCACATATAATTCAGTAGTAATTTTCCCACTGTTTTCCATTACTGTTAGTTGAGAAGTATTGGTTAGTCAATTTGAAATGTCTTTTATTTTTAGTTTTTTATTTGTATCATTCTTTTTTATTAACTGAATATTAGATCAAGAGTCATAAGTTATAATAAATGATTGTACCTGACAGTAAAAATGTTAACTTGGGTACATTCGGTCAACATTTCACTGGATTATCATAATAGCTGCCAACCCTTACGATTATGGCATGAATTTCACAACATTTTGAGGGATTCATGCCACATGCCAAAAAAATCACAAATTTCCCAGTTCTCAGTTATTTTAAATCTTTAATAAAATAGCTGATTTTCCCATGAGTTTTTTTGTCGTATATCAGCAGTTGTTGAAACGGTCCAGTATTACTGGTCGCAATATTAGTAGAACTAGAGCCAATTGATACAGTTGGCCTGGTAGAAAGCATTTTTATCATATTTTAATCTATTTTGTATAGGAGTAATGTGATGTGATTATTATTTTTTAACGTAGTTTTAACAATTATTCAGTCGTATTGCTACAATGTCTGCATTGTGGCAGTTTATAGTGATGTCTAACACTGAGGCATCATGCCACAGACATGTAGCATGATGTCCCACCCAGTCACATTATCCTGACACCAGGCCGACCAGTCCTAATACTAATCTCTTAATGCTGAGCATCAAGCGAGGCAACTGTTAGTACCTTTTTTGTAAGTCTTTGGTATGACTCGACTGGGGATCAAACCCACAACCTCCCACATCCCAGGCAGACGCTCTAACCACTAGGTCACTGGAGTGGTTTGTATAAGAGTAGTTTTGCAAATGCTTTTGTGAGAAACTGGAGCCTAACTCGAATTGGGTCCCAGCAATTGCCGTCAGCACTGATGTGAATTACCACTCAGTATCGATATTGAAAATGTCTTCACCACCAAGGAAAAAGAAATGTAATACACAAAAAATTAAGTTAAGTTTGGAATATGCCAAAAATTCAACCATCAGACAAGTAGATTCTAAGATTTGTGTAGTCACATGATTAGGAATGCAAATAGTCAGATCTAGATCAAATTTCAGCAACAATATCCTTTTGACTAGTCTGTCACCAGATTAAAGATATAACAAATGATATGCTTGCTATTTTTAAAAAAAATCAATGTATTCCTATTGATTTCAAGCAGGTATATCTCAATAAAAGGTCATTCAAGTTCGCTAGGCCGTTTAGTAAGTGGCTACCCTATGCTGACACCAGATGGTGTTGGTGAATTCCAACTTTTCAATAGGCTGAAACATTGCGAGTTTCTTGATGAACACAACCTACTTTTATCAGCTGAATCCCAGGCTAAACATTTGTTCCAACAAATATTTCCAACCTTGAAGATCGTTTCACAAATTTATGTCAAAATTAAAATATTTTAATCCTGTTTTCACTAATTATGAGCCTGGAGGGTTGGCATCTATGCATCATTCAGATTGTTCATGTATTTTTCATATTGCATGCTCTAATTTGTAATTTGATTCACATCAGTATTTAATATTGGCATCTAGTGAAAGGAACATTGAAAGTGAAACTAGAATCTAATGAGGGGTTGTAGTAAAATATCTTTGCAATTGGTGAGCACCTGAAAAAAAAAACCAGTCTCAGTATTTGGTTTCCGTTGTATTTTATCATTTGTTAGAATAAATTTGAGATATTGTATAATTCCAAAGAATACATAATAATATATGTATTATGACAAAAAATATATATTTTGAAGTGAATCAAAAGATATATTGCATTAACATTAGAAGACATAAAAATTGCTATTTGGCTTCTTTCTTAAAATAAACAATAATAATTTATGCTTCTGTTCATATTTTAGAATCATACCTAGTAGTGGTATAATGATATATCATCAGTACACCACAATTTCGCAATTCAGATTGGTACAAATCTTATGTATATTGTTATTTGTTTCCCCCAACTGTATATTAGTTAACTGCTAGTGGTACTAGATTTACTTGAAACCTAATATGGAAATAAGAACTTACACTTTAACTAATCAAATGCTTTTCTTAAAGCAGATAGGCAGTTTTCAATTTTGTTTATGGCTTTATTTAACACATGATTGGTTGTACGTGGTGACCAGTATATTTAGTGGATGAGGAACCTGGACCCCCCCCACCGAAAGAATCACTGACCAATGGGAAGCCACAGGCAAGCTTTCTCACATAATGAATATTAGAAGAGCCTTGGGCTCATGTCTGTATGGACATGGAGAAGGTGTCAGTGTAAAGGCAAGCACCTTAGAACACATGGCCATCTAGGGCACTCAGTTGGTCATCAGGGAACATGACCAGAATGGTGAAATTGATTAATCACTTTGAACTTGTAAAATATTTCAGAGGGGTGCATAACAGTATTTCATCTAATGTTACATTCAGCAGTCTCATCTGTTTTGGTGCAATCCTAGTCTTTTTTAGTTCTGGAAAGGTCCTGTTTAATTGCCATATTGTATCTAACCCTTTAGGGTTTAGGGATATACTCCTCAGATTTTCAGACTAAAAATGGTTCATGAGTAAGTCTTATGTGTTAAGTTATAATGTGACATTGGCCCTACATCAGTTAGTAGGAGTTCATAATACTCATAATTAAATAATTGATCAACTCAGTGTCTTTTCTATTTTGCTATTGTATTTTAATAAGATGTGTGATTTGTCACATTATTATTGTCTTTTTTTTGCTCCAAGAGAACAATAAATATTATGAAATGAATGTCTTAAGAGAGTGCAGATACAGAAATTACTCACTAGTCAAGTATTATTTATATTGTGTAATTAATCTGGGGTGTATATGGCACACAGTACCTATTTAAACAGGTATCACATGTGAAAATTATAGGATATTATTATTATTAATGTTCTCTTTCAGATAGCTTTTATTTCATAGATCAATGTTAGAACATTCAGTGGCAAAGTGTGGCTATACAAAAAAGCCCTTGGATTACTCATCCAGGCTGCCTTACGTGCTCAAAGTACACATGTAATAATCATTATGCTTTGTGCACAATTTGGACTAATGAAGCCAACTCCAATACATGTATAGAGGGCAGTGGAAATGTCAAACTTCCTGGTCATCTGAATTGATCAGGATTTTGACTTGCAAAACCCCAAGAAGAAACCTACTGTAAAAGCCCCAAGAAGAAACCTATTGTAGGAAGACTAATTATTCAGCTCTGAATCAATAATCCATGTCACCAGTCTCATTAGAAACAGGTAAGGCCCTACCTATCTGAGAGAATGAACATTTAGGTAGATTGCCCGCTCCCTCCTCCTACCAGAAAGTGAGGAGGGAGGAGGTGCACCTGTTGTCTCTGGATAGTGTGTTGCTGCTTTCTGCAAGGAAGAAGTGGATTGCTGTACTTAGGGTAGTGGCACATCCTCTTAAGGGAGAGGAACTGTACCTCACCCTGCCCAGAGTGTTCTAAGTGATGATGCATTATCAATCCTCAATGGTTCCAATGGATTTGAAGTTGAAAGAGTTCATTTAATGCTTCCTATTAGGCCTATAAGCTCTTCTCCATTGGACGAAGAGAAGATCTGGTAAAATGTTAAAGCTGTAAATGAAGTTTACTGTCTTCTACCAACAGACTTATTTTCCAAAATTTACCCAAAGCAAGTTCAAGAAAATCATTTCCATTTAAGAAAAGATCTCTGAAACCTAATCACAGCCAGATCTACCTTGAGACCTGTGGTCTATTACTGGGTACATTCCCCAAAGTGACCCAATAAACCTCCCCATTTGGACATACATGCTGAATTACAGAACCAAAATAAATGTTTCCTATTGCAGTGGTTTTAAAATTAGGGTAGGTATGTAGTTGTTTTAAACATTAAAAATATTATAATGTTTAGTACACAATTTTCAATAGATGCAAACTCTGGTTTTGACATGTTGGATTTGAATATGACCCATATTTGACGCGCAGAAATTCAGATTGTTTTGATGTATGTAGATTTGGACCAGTGAATCAATCTTAATTACTATTCTCCTCTGGCTTAGTCTTTTACTAAGAGTGCACTGTCTATAATAAATTTACTGTTGGAGGCACTGATTCACATCTGCTTGACAACAGTTTATGCTTAACTTGGCCAATAATGCTGCAACAATCGAAGATATATATATATATATATATATATATATATATATATATATATATATATTAACTGGGCAGAATAAACAGTTTACTGATATCACGCTTACAGCTGATGTGCATCTGAATTAAAATGGATTGTTTTGATAATTCATTTGAAGTTTATGATACAGAAAAGGAGACAATTATGACATGAATAGACTGCTTTTTGATCATATACCAATATTGGTATATTTGGACATCAAATTATTATGAACTGGTCAAAACTGAAGCATATTGCAGCTTGTAAGGTTGATTGTCAAGACAAGTGCAATAACTTTAATTGTTTTTATTGGCAACTAATTTCCTTCATTTTGTGGAATGTTTCTAAACCATTTTAAGCATTTGTGACAACACTGGAATCATTTCTGATAAAATATGAGCACTTGTTTGATTGCTACTTAAATTATAATAATTTAGACAAAACAGGATGTGAGGGTGTTGTTATGGTTGGTTTTCAGGTGCTCCCAATATTGTAATTAAACAATTTATAGAAGTCCCACCAAGGCTTGATTTTGGTTTGAAGTTGAATTAGTGAAAGATAAATGTAAAGCTCTGAGCCCCCAGTCAGCAGTACCAACAAATGGTTAAATATATAAAAAAGGTGAAATTCAATGAATAGCAAGCAATTTAATAACAGTTCAGTAGTCCAATGATTCAGATCTCCAATTAAAGTGTAATCACACCCACTATCTCAATTCCAATCTGATGGTGCTGTGAACCGATCCAATCAAACTTAGTGGACAATGTCTCTCCCACCCTCTGTCAGCATGGGCTTTTGTCTGATATTAGGACTAAACTAACTGCATAGGTGTGAATTGGTTCAATCTATCACCTGTGCCGATTCAAGATTTGGGATCTCCATCCAGTCATGTAACCTTACATAAGAGATTAACAGTAGCTCATGGCAACCTTGAGACATCAAACACAATGCCACAGTAATATTATATCTTACATATGACTTTATAGCTGGGGGTTTGTGCAGATGTGACACTGGAATATATTGCTCATTGTGAAGCCAGTTTTCATTGAGGGATTGTGTTTTATTGGCACTTAATTTGCTTCAATTTTTGCAAAACATTTGATGCCTATAGTGATTTACTTAATGGATCATTCATTGAATGGCCATAACACAGAGTGCATACATCTGAACTTTAAAATCACAATGGCTCAAAGAAGTATATTTTATTTTCTGTCTTAGTCTTGCAAATGATCTGCAGATGATGAATTTTCTGATCCTTAGTCTCCAAAGAAGAGAAAGATAGTGTCAGATCTGAGGAGGAGAGTCAATCCCCGAAATTTGTAAGTGTAAGGACAAGTGGAAAAGTGAACTGCCAGTTCTGTGATGTACATCCTTAATATCTGAATAATATATAACCTTCATAGTTATATGGATATATTTTTGCACATAAAATGATTTTAGCAATTGATAAAAAAATATTTGTATATTGAGAAGTTGAAAATATAATAAAGTATAAAATAATCTTTCTGTCAGTATCACATACAAAATATAGAACACAATAACACAGTTTGAACGAGAAACAATATCACATACAAAATATAGAACACAATAACACAGTTTGAACGAGAAACATTTTTACAAAAATCAGATTGCAAGTTTCTTACAAAAC